GAACCATTACAAAAATCAAATTTGCCGCTAAGTTTTTCTATTCTTTGATTTAAATTAGTTTTTAGATTTTATAGGCAGTCCATTTTTTTTTAAAACAATAAAAGTTTCTCACCAGCTTAACACTTCTCCTCCATATTTCTTTTGAGGTCACCCTGACTTTGTCAGTCTTGACAGACTGGAATTTTTATTGCCAGCAGAAGACTTTTGCCTTGGTTTTCTCGGAGATTTTGCAATATCCCCGAGATCAGCAAGATGTAATCTTCCTGTTCACCATCTCTTCGGGATAATTTAACCCCCCAGCAATAAAAGTGTCGAGTGCAATCTCAGAGCTTTGAGATCACGCGTCATCTCGTCACGGCATCGGCCCCTTCCTCTCGGGATTTCATTTATTTTTTACCTTCTCAGTTTACCCAACAGTGATTAGTGCTAATTTCACACTGATTGTCTACTAATATGCATAGTTATGTATATGCTTAATATTTATTTATTTATTTAGTCATGTTTATGTAGTGTATATTAGAGGTAGAGACCCTTTGAGAGATGTATGCAATGAAATTTCATTTTAATGTATGCTGATTAGTGTACATTCAAAGTGGCAATAAAGTTTTCTAAGTCTCCTACTATTATTTGTCACCTTGATTATTGCATTTGAGTTTATGCTTGTAAATAATTTGTCCATGCCATTTAAAATTGTGCTTGTTGCAAACTTTGGCATGTTGCACTCCCATTGAGTTAAAAAATATTTAATCATCCATTTTAATAATTTTGTAATTTAGACTGAAGCTTTAAAAAAATATTTCTACAATTTTAAGCTCTGCTGAAATAAAACCCCAACTTTTTCAGTGGACTCAGGAGAAATTTAAACATTTATTTAGATGGGTTTGGATAGTTCCTGTTCTTACACTATTTAATCCTTTAAAAAAAACTGCAACCTCTAAAGAGGCATTCTATTAAAGGATCCATAAATATTCATACAGTATTAGATACAGGTAATCCTCAAGGTACAACAGGCCATTTAACGAATGTTTGAAATTGCAAGTGACAGCTCCCCAAAGCTACTTACGACCTCAGTTCAAAATTAGGACAGCTGCAGTTGGCCTGCATTCACCCAATGACCCACTACAAGGTCGCTGCAGTGCCCTCCTGCCTCTCTCCCCCATCCCACCCCACAGAAAACTGCAGGACTTAGGTATTCTCCTCACACCCCCACTCCACCCCACCTTTAACTTATCAAACTCTCCAGATCTCATGTTATGGAAGGAGGGCAGGTCATGTGTTCCTGCGTTGTGGAAACACAACACAGCCGTCATTTTGTCCCTGTTCACAGACGGTATGGGGACAAAATGATGGCCACCAGACAAACTGTTTTGTTTTGCTACCTTAGGTCTCCACAGTGCTGATTGTATAGAGCTTGTTAAGGCAGCAAAATGAAGCAGTTTGTCCATGTCGCAGCGACCCAAATGCATCCGCCATTTTGTCCCTGCCCACAAATTAGCAGGGACAAAATGATGGTTGCCAAACAAACTGCTTCTTTTTGCTGCCTCAGAGAGGTCTCCACAGTGCTGAAGAAGCTTCTGAATGCTTTTGCAGCGGCGTGCAGAGCTTGTTAAGGCAGCACAATGAAGCAGTTCGTCCCCAGGCAATGCAGCAGTGACCCGAATACGGCCACCATTTTGTCAGTGGGTCAAAACGGTGGCCGCTTTTAGAACTGTGCCATGTGTCTGGGCAATGAAGAAAGTCATCCCGGCACTCTGGAAGGCCTTGGAGCTCTTCAAAAGATAAGTAGTGAGAAGGGTGTTTTGCTAGGCGAGGTGGGAATCAGGCCTAAAGCCTGGGAGATAACCAGTAGAAGTAGGAGTAAACCTGTTGGGACCCAAGAAATGGGACATGGAGCATGAAGCATCTCGGGGTGGGGGAAGTCTTGGGAGAGTTTATTACATTAATGTGTATTAATGTTTTTCTACATATACTGTATAATCCAAAATGTCATCAATATTTAATAATTTCTTGTCTGTGGATAGCAAGACACTAACAGGCATAGGAAAGACGTGTGTGCATGAGGAATGTCTATACAGAGGAAAGTGAAAATTTCACGTAAATGCACATACATTGGGCACAACCTTTGTGTATTTTTCAGAAAACAATATGCACTGATATACAGGAAGAAAGCATGTGTTTGTTTTTTGACATTTGCTAGAAGTGCTGTTCCAAATAATACAGAATCCTTCAGATCAACCAGTGACTAATCAGAAAGGCCCTTTGTTCCTATTCTGTTGAGGATTTTGTTTTGCATTGACTGAATTCTGAAAGGTACCATATGTGATCTGAATGGAAAGGAAGTAGGTTTGCCTCCTACCTTTTTTTTTCATAAAGTTGAAGATGACTTTAGGGACAAGAGGCTGCAAGTAGGCGAGACTTTAGTGTAAACAACACAGAGTTGAACAGAGCCTGATGGGTTCAGTAGGGAGTAAATACTGGGGCAAGGGAATATGGAGGAGTAATTTCACCTTCAGAGATTTTTAAAACTGCATACCTGGAGAAAAGTTTCACTGTTCTGGAAGATCTTGGAAATAGCAATAGCACTTAGACTTATATACTGCTTCATAGTGCTTTACAGCTCTCTCTAAGCGGTTTATAGAGTCAGCCTATTGCCCCCAACAATTTGGCTCCTCATTTTACCGACTTCAAAGGATGGAAGGCTGAGTCAACCTTGAACCTGGTGAGATTTGATCTGCCAAACTGCGGGCAGCCGGTGATCAGTAGAAGTAGCCTGCAGTACTGCACTCTAACCACTGCGCCACCTCGCCAAAGGTCTTTTGAAGACTTTTTCCTTTCTTTAATTGGACAGGGTCTGTCTCGTTTTAATGAAACTTAATTTCCAAATGGCTTTAAAATGTTTGACTTATATTGCAACCATTTCTTCTTCTATTTCTCTCTTAATGACCAGGTTCTTGTTTGTCTTGCTGGGTCCAGTAGGGAAAGGACAGCAATATCATGAGATTGGAAGGTCAATGGCTACCCTCATGACTGATGAGGTAAGTGAAGTATGCAAGACATTTCACTCTGTACAGCAGTGTTTCTTAACCTTTGCATGGCTGGGGGATTGTGGGAGTTGAAGTTCAGGTTTCTTAAAAGTCATCAAAGTTGAGAAGCACTGTAGGCCTAAGCCATTTACATTTTTTGGATGAACTATACATAAAAGGACACCAACAGAGCAGGGGTGGGTCCCGGCAGGTACTACTGCTGGTTCGCTCGCTCCGTGCGCATCCACAGTGCAATGAAAATTGTTATGTGCATGTGCAGAAGGAAGTTAGCAGCACCTATGGCACTACCCGGAGAACCAGTTTGGGGGTGTGGCAGGCCTGGGGCGCTGCCAGTTCCAGTGACCCAGGCCGCCATACCACTACTGGTTTGGCCAAACTGGTCCGAAACGGTAGGAACCCACCACTGCAACAGAGTCATAAAAGAGTTATAAAAGTCAGGAATAATTACCCCACATGCTTCAAATAAAGCATTAGTAAATACATGGTAGAATTGTTTTTTGTGATGCATACTCTCCTTTTAATATTTACATGACTTGGTTCATTGTAAATTGTAGTAACCTGTAATATGTGTTACTTTCCATTCATATACTATATAATCACAGCCAGTTCTGTTCTTTTTTAATGAGCCATGGTTAGGCAGCTGTGGTTTAAGGTGACTCAGCTAAGTGAAAAAGTGTTTGATTCTGGTTGGAACTTATGCAAAGATGCTGTTTCACTGTCTGTCAAATACTATGTATCTATACATTGTTCCATATTCAAGGTAGATGATTTTAAAGTTTTGCTTGTTTAACCAAAATAGTTGTCCTGACAAAGATTCTGTTTGAGAGAACATATGGGGAAATTAGAATTGATTTAGCTATTATGTGTAAGTAAATGTCTCTCTCCTGTCTGTATAGGTTTTCCACGATGTTGCTTATAAAGCCAAGGATCGAAATGATCTTTTAGCTGGCATTGATGAGTTTCTAGATCAGGTGACTGTGCTGCCACCTGGCGAATGGGACCCATCAATCAGAATTGAGCCACCTAAAAGTGTTCCTTCTCAGGTAAACTATGGCTTACTTCTCTAGCTCAATAAAACAAAATATTTCTTTTTAAAGTATTTGTTTTAAAAATATTTTTAATATTTTTAAAATAAGTCTAATATGGGGGGATACTGTCTGTAAATTAGATGGGTAGAATCATAGCACAATATATATTTGTCATTTATTGGATAAGGTTCCCTAGAGCAGTGTTTCTCAACCTTGGCAACTTGAAGACGTCCGGACTTCAACTCCCAGAATCCCCCAGCCAGCATTTGCTGGCTGG